GTGTGTGTGGGGGGTGGGTGGGTGGGGGGGGGCAGGCTGCTCAGGGGCAACGCTAAAGGGTGATTGGCTCGGAGGGGGAGGGGTGTGCATCGACCCCAATCGCCCAGTCATCGCCGACAGGCGCCCGATGGCTCACCCCCTCCCAGGAGTGTGTGTGGGGGGGCAGGCTGCTGACCACAACGACTTCCGAGCACCAGGAAATCACCTGACTGAATGCTTTCGCGTGTCGGGCCCTGGGAGGCGTACTCGTTCGATACTTCGCTGGCGTGTCGGCAGACACTGCTTCGATACTTTTCCGGGTGCTCGAAATTATTTATTCCCTACCTGGGCTCTGCCTAGAAGGGTTCTTACCGTGTTGGCTTAAAAAACCGGGCAGTGTTCCACGCCCCGGGCGGTTCCCCCAGGATCCGCCCCGCGGTTCCCCCTGTGACGTTCCCTTAGCTCAGCGTTGCTTATCTCATCTTAGCTTAGCTTATTTCATCTTAGCGTAGCTTAGCTTCATCTTAGCTCAGGTTTATCTTAGCTTAGCTTATCTTCATCTTAGCTTCGCTGAGCTTTAGCCTAGCAGAGCACAGCATAGCATAGCAGAGCGTAACACAGCACAGCGCAACACAGCATATCATAGCACAGCCCAGCATAGCATAGCATAACATATCATAGCATACCATAACCAAACATATCATATCATAGTCTACCGCAGCATATCATATCATATCATATCGTAGCATATCATATCATAGCACAGCATAGCGCAGCTTAGCATAGTAAACCATATCATAACACAGCATAGCATATCATAGCTTAGCATAGCACAGCGCAGCATGACATATCATAACTTAGCAGATCATATCATGTCATAGTATAGCATAGCATAGCGTTTCATAGCATAGCATATCATAGCATAGCATAGCGCAGCATAACATGGATAGCATAGCATAGCATAGCAACTAATGCTGCTTTCCTAGGGGCTCCAACTTCTAGGTAGGGTCGCACTGGGGTAATGAGACGTGGTTCTTGAGTACGATGGTAACAACGGGGCAACGCTGAGGGGGGATAGGCTCGGAGGGGAGGGGTGTGCATCGACCCCCGATCGCCCATTCATCGCCGACAGGCGCCCGATGGCTCACCCTGCCCAGGAGCGTGCGGATTCGCTATCGGGGGCCTATCGCCGATCGATGTGCGATGTATCGCCGATCCTAGGTTGATGTTTTCCCCCCCTGAGCCGGTCGTCCCTATCATCGTGGACCCCCAGTTGCGCGCCGAGGCCGCCTGTCAGCAGCAGTAGAATTTCCCGAGCGACGGGCGCCTCGAGGAGAATAGGTAAAACAAGCCGAGGTTTCCTGGGCGTTCCGAAGGGGCCGTTTTCCGGCCCCAGTGGCCAGAGTCGACCTGGGGCGAAAAGCTGGCCCGGCGGGACCCGGGAGAGGTCCGACGGGATCGACTCTGAGCGGATCGAGCATGCGGTCGGGAACTTTGGCTCAGCGTGTCGCGACGAGGGATTTTGCCCGTTACGCTTCGGCGCGACATGCTATCCACGTCCCAGTCCCCGAGCGTCAACGTCCCGAGCTTTTCACGGCCTCCCGCCACGCGGAGCGGAGTGACGCGCCATCAGCTTGCAGGGCAGAGCGTGTCGCTGGAGCGCAGCCGCGACACGCCACGCAAAGGTTCCCGACCGCATCCATATCCACGCCCACGCGGTCTGCACACCGGGGTGTGATCCCATGGATACGCGGTCCCATGGGCACGTTGCGAGCGTGGGGCGTCTGCGTAATGCCGCCCCGCATCCATGCGGTCGTGTCCGGGGAGTCTGGGCCGCGAGGCCGTGGATACGGATATGTTTCCCGCCCAACAGCAGTGGCAGTGGCAGGGGACCTGAAACCAGGAGCGTGGGTGCAAGATCGACTGGCCGGTCGCAACCCCGTTCGTGGCCAGGGCCGCGCTGGAGGATATCTGGGGGGCCCAGGGGCAGAGAGGAACAGCCTCAGAGCTCGTACGTTTTCTTAGCCTCCTTATGATCTCAATATTTTCGCGCACGGTAGGTGTTGTTGCGACAAGCTTCAACGACCTCGGCGAAGAATGTGCCGCAGCGGCAGAGGTGGAATTATCATAGTAAGCAGCATTTGCAGCAGTAGCAGCAGCTGGCCAGCAGTTACAGCAGCAGGCGGCAACACTGTACACAGTGTTATCAAGAGCAGCGGTTAGCAGCACAAGTCTAGGCCGCCAGACCAACAACAGTAGTGGCAGATAGCATATAATCATTGGCAGTGGCGCCAATACCAGCATCGGTGCACTGTTTGCGGCAGTAGGGGCGGCAGTGCCGCCATCGGTAGTATCATCAACACTGGTTGCACCATTGTGGACATCATCGTCAACGACACGAGTGGCAACAACCGTGGCGGCGCTGGTTGTGGCTGGGTAGCATGGGCTGGTGAATGTAAACGCATTGTTCATTTCAAATTCTTCGAGAGTTCTTTGATTTTGTTGGGGGGCCAAGATCCTTTCATTTCTAATTGTTTAATCCTGGGTCTCTTCCTGGCCACTAGGAGGCCGGGAACAGTTAGAAACGAGCGCAATTAGAAATGAGCACGATTAGAAATGAACGACGTGTAAGCTGCTTCAGTGTGGGTCTCCGATCCAGCAGAAATGCGAAGGGAGTGGGCCGATGCGTCCCATGGAGCTCCCAGCCTTCTTCGAAGGCGGCGCCCTCGCCCGGCTCCCTCCGCAGACTGATGACGCCGTGCTGGGGCTCTCAACCCCACCTGTCTGGCGTTTTCTCGTCGCGGGCCAATTCTTGTCATGGCCCGGGGGCCCGAAAGCGGCAGCCCCAGTGCCCCAGGACCATCAACAGGCGGCCGTCGTGCTTTCCTGCCCTTGTCTCGAAGCTGGAGATTGTCTTCTTCGGCGCCGAGTCGGGCCAGAGGGCCTCTCGGGACGACCTGGGCGTTCACACAGCGCCTTTCGGCGAGGCGCGCTTGCCGGAGAGCTCCAAGGGCCCGGGGTTTTCTCGGGGCGAGCCTCTGGCAGCGGGTGCCGAGGCGAATCCGGCCGTGGCGACGAGGCCCCCCCCCCTGGCCCCCCGCCCCGTTTCTCGGAGTGTCCAGGAAGTCAGGGCGCCGCCCTTCTCTCTCCTCCTCCTCCTGCCTTCCCCTCTTCCTCAGCATCGACCTCTGGGCCTGCCTTGGGGCGCGTCCTGGCAAGGATTTGGCAGCGAATCTGGCCGTGGCGGCGAGGGGCTCCTGTAAATACAGATCACAACATCCCTCCCGCCAGTACTTGATGCAAGCACAAGATAAGATAGGATATGAATCTTTATCTCCGTCCTCAGGCTAAAACGTGAGTAGGTGCGTCCACCCTCCCGCCCAGCTTATGCGCCAGAACGGCAACGGGCGGAAGGGAAAGATAATTCGTTAGCACCCTAAACTCACATCCTCGCCTATCTAATTTTCACACAGGAATGCGTCGCACATTCTGAAGGATGCGTAGCAAATTCTGAAACAAGCCTCCAGAATGTTCATGAATCATGCCTGTCGGCTCGATCGGCCAAAAGCCGCCCGCACACCGAGCAACACCAATCAAGGTATCAAACCGAATCTTGAACAGCAGATATCAAACTATCCAATCAAATCTTCAGCAACCGATATCAAGATAACATATCAAATCTTGATGCAAACTTCATCCAATCACTTGAGAGGGTGCACTCATCTTCTCTTCACCTGAGAGGGTGCACACACATCTCCTCAGCCAGCCAACGTACACACAAAGTTGGTAGCAATCTCAATGCAATCTCTTCCACCCCCCAACGTAAACACAAAGCTGGTAGTGAAATCTCAATAAAACTCTCCACCATCCAGCATATCAACACAAAGTTGGTAGTGACATCTTATTGTAACTGAGCTGACTTGATGATGCTGTAGGCGAAGTCCGTCTTGATACTCGGATCCAGACTGTAGCTCCTGCTCTCGTCTGCGTCCAGCTTCAGACACCGGCCCAAGCAATTGGCGTAGTGCTTGTCCTTGCTATATATATATATATATATATATATATATATATATTTGTGTATATATATATATGTCTGCGAAGTTGCTGCCCTCGTATCTGCCACTCTTGATTCACATCGGTCCCAATGTAGCCAACCACTGCCTCAGGAGAGCACTGTCCCCCAGGTAGATCTGTCCATTCCCCGTAACCTCGTTGGAGTACGTCTCCACCTCGGGCTCAGCCTTCAGGCGTAGTGTGGCTGATTTTAACTTTGCCTGCTTGGGCACCTTCGCCCTGAAAGGGTTGTCGCTCCTCGAACGATGGAGGTGGTCATCGTTGCCATACTGAAATCCTCGTCGTCACTCTGCTTAGGCTGCATTATGTAGATAAACATGAGGACTCCCGCAATGATTGATACCAATGTCACCACCGTAGGAGACATCGAAAGACAAACTCCATACACAGCAAGTGCACATAACGGAAGCAGAACCGTAACGTGGTCAGATATTTGGATGGTTCGCTGCGCACCACTCCTATCCACTGGGTAGTTGTCCATCGCATCGTCCATGTATAATGTTTCGACACTCGGTCTCGTTATAGTCCTCGTCCTTGTCGTCGTGGAAAACACTCGTCTAGATAGTTATACGTTTCCACCTTGCTGCGCTCCCTGGAGACACGCACAGTCTGCATAGACTTCACATAGGCCTCCATGGTGACGTTGATGCTGCCGTCCTTGTCTTGCTGGTAGGCCCGGCCACAGAACGTCGCCTTCTCCTGCCTCGCGTACTTGACCTCGCCGAAGTCAATCTCCTTCTGAAGGTCCTTCGTGATCTTGGCGCCCTCAGGGTCGTCCTGCTTGATGCCCATGAGGAAGTCGTCCACGTGTCGACACATGATCCCTATGACCGTGTTCTCCTTGTTGCGCTTGATGAAGGTCGCGGGCTCGAAGCTCAGGCCTTCCCATCCAAGCTTTACGAGCGTCTCGCGCAGCGCCACATACCAAGCTCTTGCCGCATCGTTGG